GTAGATCCCATCCCACCCCTGGACTTTGTCGATGACTTCCACTACATCAGAAGTTTAGTTTTAACATGCTGTACTCAGGTGTCTTCAGGCAGTTGATACCGGTCACATACACACCCAAGCTACACATGGACTTGATCTTTGGATGTTTTCTGATGGAAAGCTGCTACCGTTCTGACAAATAATTGTTCTCTCTCCTCCTCTCTCTCTCTGTACATTGACATGGATACCACAGTCTTGACAAAGTAATACTAGCACCACCAACCACAATTGTGGATGACAATACCAAAGAATGCTAGAACATGGATGAATGAATGACCTCCGTCATGTTTAGACATTAGAAACATCTGGGAGAATCAGGCACTAGACGTATTTGTAGCCTTCACAGTGATTGGTCTTTAACTGAAACAATTCATTCCAAAGTCTTGAAAGATAACATGAAATGCAAGATAATATTAAATGCAAGAGTAAAAATAAACATTGCACCTGGCAGGCTATTGGTGTCGCGTCCAATACATGACTGGTGATACCACTCCTTGCCAAAACACACACTTTGTACCAGTAGCTCACACTGGACCGTTTGGGCATGTTTAGCACCTCCGTGCTTATTGCAGATGCTGTATAGTCATTTGACATCTGACATTGCTGCAGACAGTACGAGTCCAAATCGGCCTCTACGTTTGTCTCCTTGATGCAGGTTCAATGAAACCATCCACTTCAACTACATTTCTTATTGCATTCTGCTCCCCCCAGAATGTTAATATGCGTATCTTGTGATTCCGCTTTTTTTGCATGATTGTACAGAGAGAGTAGTCATAGAGGCAATGCCCACGCGATCATACAAGGACGATACAGCAAAAAATAATTCTGTTAGAAAGAAACGGTAATGTAAAAATATCCAATGTCTCCTAACAATATTGTAAAAGCATACGGATTTATGTGGTTTAAAAATAATATTATTATCAAGTTCATATGGCGATACAATGAAATATCACAGTTCAATGTAAGTAATTGTACCTTCATGACAGGAGCAAAAGTTGTATGTTCCATCATCACTGTCATGTCATTCCTTATCTGGGCCGAGTGCTCCTTGTAAGATGGGCTGCATGCCTTCATGGGAGAGCTCACGCCACACGTAGTTAATGCGAATCCAACCAGCCACTCTCTCTTGGCATCATCCTTACAGTTGATTGGAAACCCTTCCGGTACATCATCCAGCTTCTGCATGTTGGCTAGCGTGGTAGCCAGGAGGACGACATAGCTGCGGGTTACGGACTGAAGAGAAATACATGCAACATTTATGAGCGACGACTTTGGCATGATTTCAGGTGTAGGAACTGTTTGGACACATTTACTTCCTCCATTTTCAGTTTTCAACTGTTGCTGTTCTGGTCCCAATTCTTCAGTTCGTCTACATGTATGTTTTCTTGTGGAAAATAACCATGTTTATCACCGAACATCCCAAATAATATCTCACCTCGATCAGATCCCACACACGGTAGAAATTGTCTGCCACTCTAGTAGAGATGGATTTATGCCGAAAATATTATTTCAGCTAGTACAATGTGCCCTTGCTTCCAATGCTGTTTCTCCTAAAAAAATGTCTTCATTGTGTCCTGCATGGAAAAATAAAAGCAATGACTTAATATAAATGAAATTACAAATTTACCGTTACTGCCATCATTTCAATAATTCAACAAAGTGTAGTATCCAGCGCCGTGGCTATACATTTCCGCCAGCGGCTTTCTACGTTTTGTATTAGGCAGGGGTAGAGGCAGGGTCAAAATTAAGATTTTCCTTTTCTAAACCTCTGCAACAGTCTTCATCGAAGGGTTCCCCCAGATCGAAGTTACCCTATCACACTCTTGTTCAAATGTTGGATGCATTCATCCCTCCAAATCCTCTACATAATCCCTGAGATTCTTGAAGCACCATGAATAAACAATGAGAGGGGGGCTATACTCCGTCAAATATTTTGCAACATGCGTTCCCTGTATAGATGTCTGAACCGTCTTAAAACTTTTTGGAAGTATCTATTACACCATCAGGTCTTTCTAATTCATTCATGGTTTTGTCTCAAATGGACAATATGTCACCGTAGGGGGCAAGTCTGCCCCACTTCGCTTTCTAGAAATCAACATGTTACAAAAGTTTTTAGTAATTATCTGAAGTCCATTGCGAGCGTTTGCTGTGTGTAAGAAGAAACGAGAAATGATTACACAAACCTGGACTGAGGAGCTTTTCCTTGTGAAACTCCTTGGGTGTTGGAGAAGCCCCTCAAGACGATCGTTTGGCGTAGGCTCACTGCACATAAGTTTGCGTTGAGAATGCAACCTTTTAATGCTCAGATGATGGCCATTAGAAGGCAAGGTGTACACCTTGTGGCACCCATATGAGGGGCAGTATCTTTCTTGGAGGTCTCGCATGATGTTTCGGACGCCGGCATGGGATGATGGGTTTTCATCTATTTTCAAGTTGAAAATAGATGACTTCTTCGACATTTCTTTTCTCTTGTGCTTCTGAACTTCAAAGTCCTTGAGTTGTGGAATGTGATTGACCAAGATCCTTTGGACAACCACGGCAATTCTATTCTTTGCTACCTCAAAATCCTGAGCTTGAGGAAGAATAGCACTGGGGTGAATCTCGCAAGGAAGCTTCTAAAGTGTTATCGTTCTGCATAAAACAGAAAAACAACAAACAGTCGTTGAATTAATCATTATTGCAATAAATATAGAAATTGATTGTGATTGTAATTATAAAGCAAGTGCACTATCAACTCATTTGCACAGTCCAATATAGACTAATGGGGGTTGTAGATCCCATCCCACCCCCTGGACTTTGTGGATGACTTCCACTACATCAGAAGTTAAGTCTTAACGTGCTGTACTCCGGTGTCTTCAGGCAGTTGATACCGGTCACATACACACCCAAGCTCACACATGGACTTGATCTTTGGATGTTTTCTGATGGGAAGCTTCTGCCGTTCTGACAAATAATTGTTCTCTCTCCCCCTCTCTCTCTCTGTACATTGACATGGATATCACAGTCTTGACAAAATAATACTAGCACCACCAACCACAATTGTGGATGACAATACCAAAGAATGCTAGAACATGGACCAAACACCAATGCCTTAAATCTAAGTGGTCATGATGTAACAGCGCGGGAACTCGTCTTTTTCTAATTGGACAAAAACTTTACGCTTCAACGTTTTCAAGCGTAGGGTTGATATATAATTACCGAGTAGTGAGATGCGCGGCAGATAAATTTTTTTTTTCTTCCGTTATGACAGAAACTACATTTGTACATTCGTGTCTGTCATGTACAATGAAGTCATGTTGTAGTAGTTTATATAGCAAACGTTGGCATATCGTCTCCGCATAGCCCTATACAGAACTTTTTTGTGTCCACGAATCACAAAAAAGTTCAGTGTTCTTTTAGCAAAAAGGAAAACAAATCACATTGTTTGTGCATTGTTTTCGTTTTGCTGAAAGAGCACACACATTTTTGCTGATTCATGGATAGAACTTTAAAATGGTGGTTGTATTTAATATTCTGTAACTTGAAAAGTACATGAGTGATTTGAATGATTCTTGTACTAAAAGAAAGCTTATGAATTGGGCTTTCATGTCCTAGATTTTGAAAGTGCTACATGCAGAACTTCAATAAAACAATAGTCCCGACTTTTGGGTTTCGTTTTTTTTTTACTCACCTGTAGTTCTAGGGATAGCATTGTGTGACGTGTCCTGATATTGATATGTTTGGTTTATAGGTCGGAAATCAGGGTCATGCCAGTCTCTAAGTCTTCCAAGAGTGCATAAAAATGTGATATTTGAATTTGAATTAATCAATTTAATTAAACTTTAATCACTTATTTAAGTCAGTTGACAAGTATTTTAAGATTGCTGATAAAATAATATTTAATATGTGTTGGTAATTTTCAAATAAAGTAAAGACAATGTAATGTAAAGATGCACATCTCAACACCAAAAACATTGCCATTGTTGTAATTCTCATGGAGCTGGGCTTTGCTTAGTCCCATAGATGTGTCTCAAATTCCCCCGTATTGTGAGCCACGCAGCGATGCGGGCTAAATTTCCCAAACAGGTGTTTTCCCTGAATTGAAATTGAAATTGATTTTGCACTTGATATTCAATATGGAAACTACAAACTTAGTTTCCTGGTTAAAATAACCAGGACGAATCAAATTCCTTACTTCTTGACAGCTAGGTATCCTGTAAAATCCATTCATTTTGGACAACCTTTTTTTTTCAAAATTAAATGGATAACTAAACATTTAGAGATAGGGAATTTGATTATTCCTGCTTTTTAACCAGGTTCCATAAGCACCAGTAGCCTCTGTAGTGAATATCAAGTGTCGATGTGTGGTTCAAGATATGGAGGAAGTCAAGTATTTGAGACACATTTAGAGGGCTAGGTTTTGCTGTGCAGTCAAGTCATTTTCACAGAGAGTATCGATTTTCTCAAGATAAACTACCATGGTATTAGTACATAGGCTAAGTGTTACTGGGTGGTTAGATTTCACTGAATAAATGCACTTAATAATGTACAAACTTTGTTATTTACATGTTAATAAAGTGTAATTGAAATACAAAGAAATAGATGTCAAGACTTTTTCTTTTAATATCAAATTCAATAGATAACAGAAAACTGATTTATAACATGTATAAGGCTTTGACTTGGGCTGCAATTAATACCAAGCTGTTATGTCAGTTATAAAATGTACTTGATACTGTGGTAATTAATTAATTAATTTGGCAATAATTAAAACACATATCCCGAGATGATTTTCAACAACCCTGATGTTTGAATAAGTTTGATGCCAATTTTGCGTCCCTCATTAATGAGGTACCAATCCCTCTTTTTGTACCCTCCTGAAAACACAAATCTTGCAGTATTTGTAATAGAATTGATGTAGTCTAACTGTCTACATTTCTGTATGTATTCTATCAGGCATTAAAGAATTTTTGTTTTGGTTTTAGCTTCGGGCGCAAAATCAGGTTTTGAAGAAAGCAGTTGTGGAAGAACAAGAAAAGCAGAATGCTCTTAAGGTAGGTAAATAAATCTATTTGAATTTTGTCACTTTGGTTTCCTGAAAACACAGGTGTTACCCTGAACCGGAGCCTAACATGCTAGTGGTCGTGGTCTTGATTCCAAGCCAGAATTCTATTTTAATTCTGAAAGTTAGGGATGGGGCCACAGTACATGCACTTCTTTAGTAGGAGATCTAAAATTCCACTGTTTACATTTTTCCCATTTGTAAATTCATGATATAATTACCAAGGGGTGTTGAAACCTGGTTTCATTTCTTCTCTTTTCAAATAAACCACAAAGGGAAAATGTCTGCATGTAGGTGCATTATAATGATTTGTAAGTTGAACAAAGAACTTGACTGGATTGGGGTTTGAGCCTGCGACTTCCGGATTACCATTCCGGTGCTCTACCAACTGAGCTATCCAGCCCTATGTTGATGGTTTCCCCAGTTGTCTGTGTCTTTGTTCAAGGGGTGCAGAAGCCATAAACCCGTATAAGTCATGTAGCCAGGGATCATGCCCAAAGTCACGATGCTATCAACATTTAGCAATGCTGCAAACCCGGGAAATAGCAAGCGGGGATCACTCAGAGAGGATATGGCATTTTTATTATAAATTTTCAAATAAACCACAAAGGCTTCTGACTAGTGCCCCTTAAACAACGACATTTACAAAACGGGGACCGGCAATCCGGAGGGTCACAGGTTCAAACCCTGCTCAACATAATTTCTTTGTTGAACTAGACAATTATTGTTATCTTCCATTTGTTTTGTAATGTTTGATTTGACATGTCATTCTCGTTGTGGTAGGGCAATGTGAACGAGAAAGACCAGAAGATCCGCAAGTCTGAGCAGGAGATTGACAGTCTGTCCTTCCGTAACCAGCAGCTGACCAAGAGGGTCAACGTCCTACAGGATGAGCTGGAAGCTGCTGAAGGCAAAGGCAAAAAGAACAAGGTAGAAATGGGGCTTAGATGTGGGTTCAATGTCTCATTCAAAGAAAATAACTTTTGCTAGGACAAAAAGTGACTTAAAACTATTATTATAAATGGTTTATTTGTTGTTTTAGACAAGATGTGGCAATCACAGATTGAATTGCATCAAGTCGAGACAGGAAATATATCTGGTACACAGTACTTATGAATACATCCAAATAAAATTTAAATGTGTTGATGATCCTAACACGTAAGGTAGTGAAAACCTGAATGAAAGGGCAAAAAGGACAACTTTCGTGGGCTTGGATCTGGAGAGAATCATAAGTCATTCCACCAGACCAGACCATGCTGCATGTGCCTGTCTGGTAATATTCAAATAACCAGGACCTCACCTAATTTTCAGTGAGTTTTGATGGCAAAAGGGTGATTAACCGCCTAAACGCCTGGCCCTTTTGGCTAAGAACCATCATCCTGCAAAATCCTCCAATTGCCACCATGTAAATATTGGATTCAGCCTCAATCCTCAAAAATCATCCATTATTTCTGGAATTTGTTCAGTGGAGGAGTGACCACTGCCTAAAGCCTGGTTCATGCTTCACGCGAAAGCGAAGCGAAATTTGTGACGTCAACAATACGTTCAAAGCGCATCCACCATTGTTTACGACATGAATTTCGTTTTGCACTTGCTTTCGCGTGAAGTATGAACCAGGCTTTAATCCTTCAAAATCCTCCGACAATCACTGCTAATATGTTGAGGCCGTGCCAATGATATCCAGAAGCAGTGTGAATGGTATGGCTGAACATAAACATGCATTGTACAGCCTACGACATTGACAAGGTGCATCCTCCAAAACCAACCGACACCTTTTTTGCCGTTTAGCCTGAATCCTGCAAAATCCTCCAAAACAGCCTGGTTGAAGTTGGAGGATTGAGGAGGGTTAGGTTTAAAGTTTCCTTGGTTTTGTCTTGGGTTTAACAAGGCATACCTCATGCCATATAGCCACAAAGAAATATTGTAACAAAACCTACTCTGCCAGTTATCTGGCAGTTAAGTGAAATCATCACAAAAATAATTTTGGAAAAGAACAAAGAATTTCAATTCTGTTAGCCACTAGTCACTTTCTTGTGGCTTTTAATTCAAAATACTTAAATTATTATTCAGAAAGATTCCCATATCTGGCCATCACTGATTTTTCCTTGGGTGCGTTTGAGCGTGTTACTCTTGCTGCTCCCGAGTGCAGGAAAATGTTGCGTGCGCATTACTCCGTCATACTCCCGGTATGACGGAGAGCATACTCTTGCTGACCTGCGGGCCGTACTCCTGCCGTTCGTGCGCTCAGGAGTATACTCGTGTTAACATGAGTAGCATGCTCGAACCCACCCTTTCAGTGACCTATCAGCCGTCAGAAAGTGATAATATGTCCTTAAAAGTCAAATTTAGCAGGGAAAATATTTACTGAAAACACTTAGAAATTTTCAGATCAGTCTGATACGGTTTGTGCACAGAGTGACAAGTGATGGCCATGTCTCTCCTGTCAGCACCCAGCAGTAAGTCCTCAATGTGCAGACATGTGCTCAGGTTTTCATACCTGTACTATACTAGCCCAGTACTTTTCCACTGAGTTGGAATTCAAGGCAAGTAATTTATGCAAATAAGTTAGAGCAATTCCTGCCTTAATCCATTGACCTGCTTTTGGAGAGCCCAAGCTAAATCCATGAATTGTACTAAATGTGTCACAGTGTTCAATTGAATAAAAGGTCAGGCTAGTATAAAAAGGAACATTTGGCTTGGCCAGCTAGTGGAATCTTTAATTTATATTTGCTTTTTTGGTATATCTAGTGAATGACTTTCCAGCTGGCAGCAAATTGTTCCATTCTTATCTGACATCAAATTGAAGTGGTTTTCGCTACAATATTTCACAGTAAACCATGTCACTCTTTGCAAAACATGCCACAAATTAGATTTGTTACCTGCATGTACATGCAATGGACCATGCACTCAATTTCTTCCAATAATTTGTGCCAGTTTTGAACTCTTTGAGACAATGTTTTTGTTTACCACCAGAGTCGAGAGGCTGATCATGGTATGTCTAACAGAGCTGCCCTGCCTGGCGTGATGAATGAAGAGCTACGGAGTAAGATTGAGGAAAACGAGCGACTTCACAAACAGGTGAGCATGCTGCCATATTGGTCAGGTACCCTGTGACCATGATGTAGAGCTCCATCAAAAACAGGTGAGCATGCTGCCATATTGGTCAGGTACTCTTTGACTATGATGTAGAGCTTCATCACAAACAGGTGAGCATGCGGCCATATTGGTCAGGTACCCTGTGACCATGATGTAGAGCTCCATCACAAACAGGTGAGCATGCTGCCATATTGGTCAGGTACTCTTTGACTATGATGTAGAGCTTCATCACAAACAGGTGAGCATGCGGCCATATTGGTCAGGTACCCTATGGCCATGATGTAGAACTCCACCACAAACAGGTGAGCATGCTGCCATATTGGTCAGGTACCCTTTGACTATGATGTAGAGCTTCATCACAAACAGGTGAGCATGCGGCCATATTGGTCAGGTACCCTATGGCCATGATGTAGAGCTCCACCACAAACAGGTGAGCGTGCGGCCATATTGGTCAGGTACCCTATGGCCATGATGTAGAACTCCACCACAAACAGGTGAGCATGCGGCCATATTGGTCAGGTACCCTTTGACTATGATGTAGAGCTTCATCACAAACAGATGAGCGTGCGGCCATATTGGTCAGGTGAGTGATAAGACAGCTGTGACCACAACTTGTCTGCTTTGTCTGTTGACCAAGTTTGACTAGTCACAGTGTTTGCATATGACATATGATTTGACTGCTGGTGACTAGCCTTTGTTTAAAGTAACACAACCATGTTTTCAAAATTGGCCGTTTTTGTGTTATTCTCGCGAGACTGAATTTTGGGGGTCAAAAATTGAGTTGTTTGGGTGTTAGTCATGATTCAAGTTGCACATGTTTGTTATTAATACATGTGTGTGTTTATCTGTTTGGTAAATGTGTGGGCTAATTAACATTGAAAAACCACCCGTTTTAGAGTCTGCAGTTTGGTGACCATAGACTCTGTGGCAGTTTGGCCTTGGGTTTTTCCACCTGGTGGATCTTGCTACACTAAGCAGGCATGTCATTTTGACAAGTGTCGCTTACTGTTGTCATTCCCAGGGTTTCTACCCTAGAGGGTCAGGTATTTTTTCTTTTTCTTTTCTTCATAAATTTGAATTTTTTTAACTCAAATTTTGAAGGGGAAAAAATACCATTTTTCCCCTCAATAATTTCAAGTTTACAGCAACAGATTTTAGGTACCCAAATTCCATCACATTTTGTGCAGGTTTATGAGAGCACCCAGAGCCATCAGCAAGCCATGATGCAGCTACAGGACAAGCTATCCAACCTGGAGAGTCTATCTAGTCAACACCAGAGCGTCTTGGAGTCTTCAGCCAAGAAACACCAGGAGACGGTGGACAGGCTGCAACAGGAGAAGGCCATGCTGGAGGTCAAACTACAGGCTCAGGAAAAAGAGGTACAATACAGTGTTGTATTCATAGAGCTTTATAAAATTACTGGAGAGCTGACTTGCTGTACACAATGTAGCATGCTGGGTGCATACATGTGTACAAACCTACTGAAAGCTCACAATTTTGCACAGCTTCAATATGGGTATTTGCATATCTGCTTTTGTTTTAGAAACCGATATGTAAATGAAGACGATACACCCAAACCGAAATGCACAATCAGTGAAGAAGCATTTCATTTCTCTTTTATATTTCTTTTATTTCATTTTGCTTCAGGTGATTTTTTGTTCAAACTCAAGACACATGCATATGAACTTCAGAAGCTGCATTTGTTGAACTCTCGCCTTGCATTTAGAGCTCAATGGTGAAATTCCATTCCTTATTGCAATATTTGCTCCTACTGCGGTCAAGCACATTCTCCAGAATTTCTGTACCCACGACGCATTTTAAAGTATTTCACGAGAGAATGAAGGGGAGTTAGCACTCTAGTAATGTGACATTGCTGTATGGTACATGTAGCAGTTGACTCCTTTTTCAACTCCAACATGTAAACTAAAGTATACACTAACCCAATTTTGCAGTTATGGTTACATTTCTGGTATGTGCCATTCCTGGGACACTTCCATGCCTGAGCACCTATTGCTGGTGCATTTCGTTTTGAAGCTATGAACACGTCACTAAAGATGAGAGCATTGTGCAAAATACCAAAGCAAGCTTTGGAACACTCCAGTAATGGCAGAAAGCCATCCCAGTTATTGTAAAAACTGGGTACCTTGGATTGCCAAACTAGACGGAGTGGTTCAAGAATTTCAGCCTCTGATAATTGGTTGGAATCTGAGAATTTTGACCAAAAAGGTGTCAAAGAATTTACAAAAGGACTTGGGTGGTTTTTGTACACTTCTTGGATATTTATGTCAGCTGTGTGCATAACACTTTACCCTCGTACTATGAAGCATTGTTAGAATGAACCAAGAATTCAGAGTGAGCCGCAGTAGGGCACCCTTCACCGTTGGTACAATCAACAATACAATCAAATTAGTATTCTGCCACAGTGTAATCGTATGCATTGATTTTCATACTGTAATCCAGGCCCGAGAGGCAACACTGAAGTGTGAAGGTGCCACACAGAAACTCAGCGTTCTACAGGAAGAACTAGGTGGCAAGGTATCCTGGATGACGCACATAATACAGACCAAACTACCGTTCAATGACACAGGTATGATCAGTGGTCCTAGATGTCAGATCTACAGTTCACATCCTATCTTTCAAAAATTCCAATTTGCCAAAATTATGTGTCAGGCAAAGAGCACTGGACGAAAAGAGGATAAAATCACCATGAATACAATATTTGTTCAAAACAATTTGAAATTACCTAAGTTAAAAAAAAATGGAATGATTGTGATAGCGATACATTTTTAAATCGGCAAATTTTTCTCTCATCTGGCATTTCACTCAAAAATATCATCAATGCCACGTTCGGGGTTTTTTACCCAAAACTTTCGCTGATGAAAAGTAGGTTTAGCCTCATTTTGCTGCATTCTGTCTACCAGTCATTAATCCAAATGTAAGTTTCAGAATGACTCATGTTTTCTAAGACTGTGTAACTGCCAACAATATATCGCATAAATATGAACACATCCAAAACAATAGCAAAATTTGCTACATTTTTCATGATGTACTTTCCCATGGGCATGTATGACTGTATGCTGCACATGCACGTTGCCCTGAATAAAAGGGGCAACATGTATTCCCACGACATGAACAGTTTTTTGGCCCAAGAAATCACGTTTTTCACAACATTGCATTTTGGTTGTGCATTTATGCAAATCGATTGTGATTTTTTGGTGATGAATGGGCAGTAACTTCTCAGCATGGCAGTAGTTGACAACTACCGGTATTTTATGACTCAAGTTGCCAGACTAATAGACCTTTATCATGCTTCCGCCATTTCAGTCATGTTCCTGTATCCAATAACAGTACTGAATGATGATGTTTTTGTGCAACAAGGAACCAGACTATTCCTTCCAGCCTCGCTTTGGTTACATGGGTCTGAATGAGAAAAAGTCAAATGGCTGCAACATGATAATGGTCTATTGCGTTGTTCCACTGACAGATCATAGTAACAGTAATGAACTCAGACCCATGTGTGCTTATTAGTGCTGGTCCCAGAGGGCCCGCCTAGAGTCCTCTTGCTACCTGATTGACCTTTGATCATGCTCTTATTTTTTGACAGTTTTTTTCACCGTATAAGCAATATCGGTGGGGGGATGGAAAAAAAAAAAAATCAGAATTGTCAGCACTGCAGAGTGGTAAATTATGTTTATAATGACACTTCATATTTAGACTATTTTGGAGGTTGTTAATTTGGTGGGTTTTTTTTTTGCTTGCTTTTTGTTTTTCAAAAAACATACATATTTATAAGAAGAAAGCGCTACACAAGATGTTAGAATTCATTTATTCGATTGATCGGAGGTAATCTTTTGCTTGAGCTGGATTTTTACAATTTAAGATCCAAATCCAAGTTCCAAATTTCTAGAGGTTTGCCACTGGGTCTACTTGGATGGCATTAATGCATTTCTCATGCAGAAAGGGTTAGCCAATATGCAGTTGTTTTTGTGATAAAGTAACATATCGCTGTATTGTACTATAAGACTACAGATCACTCTTCATTTTTCTTACAGAGAAGCGTGAACTGAATGCACTGAATGTGCCTACTCATGACAGGAAACACCAAGTAAGTACAACTGTACATTAGTTTATACTTAGATCCACTGCTTGTGTCTTTGAAGATCTCCCTTTGAAGATTATTAGACCTCTCATAATCTACAATACTGCCAATGCAATTCATGTAGGTTTGTTGATCTCTGTTTCCTTTCCATTTGGCGAACAAAATTCGAAGCCAATTTTGAGGTGGAACCACATCTGCCCGAATGCCCCACACATTCTTCAAGACAAGGAGTGCGCGCATTTTTGTTAACCTTATTGGTCTGAGGAGTCCTAAGTGCGTGTGTACTACCTGAGTGTGAGCCTGGTTCAACATTAAAAATGGCTGCTAATTTTATTTGCTGAATGAGTTTATAAGAAAATAAGAAAAAGAAAGACTAAGAAAAAAAGAACATCTTCCTGGGTTGGATGCTAGTCCTCAGCTAAAGCTGGTAGCTATTTCTACTCCTGGGTGGAGAGTAAAATCAGTTGCCTAAGGACACCACACAGGGACAGCAGCAGCCTTCAAACCCCTAACCCTCTCAGGAGTCACCAATCCTAACTACTGTCAGTCCTCACTCTTCCCAAATTCTGGCAAAGTGACAATAACTCAATGTCACTTTTCACCCATTCAGCTGGGTCTGCTTTGTATCCATAAATTGCAAGTCAGTAATCTGGTCTGTTCCCATGCCAAACCAACCATTTACCATGCCCAGAGCTAATGACGTCATAGCCCTGACTCTGCTGGTATATTTGAAAGCACCACTGTGATTCCTCCAAACTCCACCACAATGCAGTATCAAAACAAACAATTGCAGTATAAAAGCCAATGACACAGTATGTCATTTGAAATGGGCATTGAATCCCATGTTAAGTAATAGTGGCTGTGTTCTATCTTCCTCAATACTGCAAAGTCCTCCAAAATTGCCTGGTGGAATTTGAAGGATGTAGGATGGTTAGGGTTGGTGGCTATGTAGCCAGGGTGATTATCAGCCCAAAGGCATGCTCTGTTGAAAACATGAAAATGAAATAAACATTGTGGCCTCAGCTTAAACTTGCGTTACTTGAGCTATTTTCGAGTACCATCCCAAAAAAATTAATTTCTTTTCTAAATTACTAGTTTTCTAAGCAATGCAAAAGTTCTTCACTTTTCAATGAGACATCAACTAAAAAAATGAGCCCATGTTTAGTTATTGAATTATCACTGCACAATTTCGAATTATTGGTTGCCAGACAATAATTTCCTTTCTCGTGGGTTAGGCTGGTTCCCACCCCATAATCGGTATCGATAATGTACAGACAGGGAGCCAGCCCAAAACAAAATCCTCTGAACTTTCAGACGCCAAAAAAAGTGGGGGGGATGAGTTTTCTTGATTGGAATGAAACATACAAGTTGAAATGTATTATTAGAAAAAAATGAATTAGTTGAAGAGCACGGGGAATGCAACGTTAAGTTTCAAGGGTGATTTCTTCCCCCTCCTCCTTCCCCCTCCCTCCTTCCCCCTCCTTCCCCCCTCCCCCTCCCTCCTTTCCCCCTCCCCCTCCCTCCTTTCCCCCACACGGCTGCCAAATATGCCTGTTATAAAGATGTCCACATTTGCTGTCAGATATAATTTAAGAATTCACTCCATTGAATTGGTGGTATTTCTGTGACCAAATGAAGAATGAACAAAGCCAACCATCTCAAAGCCAGACTGAATTCAATCCAGAGAAAGTCTTAAAAAGTCATTCCTTTTACTTGTGAAGTTATGACAAATGTGTACAGGTTGATAATGATCGAACCACTTATGTGATATTTCAATTCCTCAGATGAAGACGAAGGATTTGATTGGTCAAGCCCACACCCTGGTGAAGGAACTGTGCTCAGGACTGTCTAACCTGCATACCTACACAGAGCAGAGATCCAAGCTCTTCCCTATTGACTCCACAACGGGACCCATCAGTGCTGTCAATCTCAAGGTGAACTCATAACACTTAATGCAGCATTTTGTCTGTTGGGGTTCTGAAGTGCATTTCCCACAAAATCTGTGGTGGTACATACGTGCATGCTGGTATGCACATGTGCCAAAATTGAGCAAAGGGGCCGATCCCACAAAACGCTAAGACGCGTCTTGTGAAGGGTAACTCGTCTTTATAACTCGCGACTCATCCTAGGATCGATTTCACTAAACTTAAGATGCGTTCAACACCTCCTAACTTCCTTAGCAACACCGCTGAACTCATCTTAACTTAAGATCGGTCAAAGGGTTGTCTCCTCTTATGATTACGGGCATTTGTATATCATCTCAAATCAGTGCACTGTCTTGTTAAAGGCGAGTTTCGCTCTAAAGCCAGTTTCCATACAGTTTTGAATCTAATTGCAACGCCAAAGGAGGAAAACCGCTGTAGAAACAGTTATGAAAAGAATTTGACACGTGGGTAGGTTAAATAATAATTTATTTCTAACTTGTGAAATTTAATTACAGGCCTACACCTAAATAACCACATTCCCAGTTCTCGAAATACAGTGATGAACCGGGGAGCAAATTGGATATTCATAATGAAGGGTATTAATTGAATGGTATCTTGTGAACTGTGACTGTGTAATGTTATATTAGCACAAAAATTATTTTTTAGGCGAAACTTCATCTTCTTCGAACACTTGTGGGAAAATTGGCTTTTTTGAGTTTTCTGTTTTTCAATGAATGTTTCTTTAAGTGATTAAAACAAGCATAATACAGCCGTCAAATCTTGCTGAAGGTGTATTTAGTGAAATTGGTCGTAGGACGTATCTTAATAGCTAGGATCGATCTTAGAGCAGGGACTCGTCTTAAGTCCTAAGATGAGTTGTAGGACAAGATGCGTTTCGTGAAATCAGCCCAAGTGCATTTAATCGCCAAAATGTCCATGGAAACTGATTCGTAACCTTAGTGTTCATTGTGGGCTGAGTACCAGTAACTGTGCTCTGCCATTGTGTTCCTCTAGCTGCAAGCAATATGAGCTATCCTTCAGTACGGGCACTTGAGGACAATTTATAGCTGTTCAGACTAGACAACACCAAAGGGCATACAAATGAATATTAATGGATTTATTTTTGCTGTGCAGTTTTGTAGCTACCTCCATGAGAATGCATCCTACCTTCGTCCTGTGGAGCAAGCTTTTAAGAATTTCCTGGACAACATCCGAGATGAATCACTCACAACTCTAGTAAGATCTCAGCTAAATTACTGTACAAGTACATTTTTGTGTTATTTTTTTTATGACGGTTTGCTTTTTGTCAGTAGGTGCAGGCCATAATGGTCCAAGACTTGTCAATGTGAATCACCAATTTGTCACTGCAAATATATTATAGGACATGTTGACAAAGTTGTAGTTAGTGCCTCACAAGTCATCAAAAGTCATCAGAAATGATCACAAGTCAATCAGAAGTCATCACAAGTCAATCACATGTCAATCACAATTCATCAAAAGTCGTCAAAAGTTGTCACAAGTCATCACAGGTCAATCACAAATCATCACAAGTCATCACAAGTCAATCACAAATAATCACAAACCAATCACAAGTCAATCACATGTCAATCACAATTCATCTAAAGTCGTCAAAAGTTGTCACAAGTCATCACAAGTCAGCACAAGTCAAACACAAGTCATCGCATGTCAATCACAAGTCAATCACAATTGAGCACAAGTCAATCACAAGTCATGGCAAGTCAATCACAAGTCATCACAGGTCAATCACAAGTCAATCACAAGTCAATCAAAAGTCGTCTAGTTACAAGTCAAGTGGGAAAAAAGATATTCCAACGAGCTGTGACACAGAGCCGTTCACTTGTCATCGTTCATCCACTGTTATCAGTGACATGACTTACAATTGACTTGTTGTTTGACTTGTGGTGAATTGGAATACATCTCTGATAGTTGAATTTTGGAACTTTTGCAGCAGTATTGTTTGGTTTGATGAAGTTTTTTACCTTAGTCAGCACATACATTTGTAATTAACCAGTTCATGCCGGACTTATTTTGACAAAAACGGACCGAGGCATGGGTTTAATATTCACTCGACCACAATGCCAGGCGGGTCGAAGCCATCATGCTGGGGCTGCAGAGTCATATTTCTGGCCTCGGTCGGTGGCTGTGACTCGCTGACAGACATTTTCAGGCCTCGGTTGTTGCAGGTTTTTCAGTCGTCCGATCTGACTTTCGGAAAACTTTTGCGTGTATGCACTTACGAACTGGTTAAGCCTGGTTGTAGCGAGCATTCCAAGGCAATCAAAACACATGTGGATTCTTTTATGACTGCTGTTGTCAAAATCAGTCCGGAATCATAACACATCAATATGACAGACCTTTTATTACGACAGTAGACAATAGAAACTTTCAATATTCCAACTTTTAACTAAAACATTACATTAAAATGCCACAGAAAAACACTTCTAAAAATATTGATGTGTTGTCAAAATCAGTCAGGAATCATAACACATCAATATTTTTAGAAGTGCTTATCTGTGGCATTTTTAATGTAATGTTTTAGTTACCATTTAGAATATTGAAAGTTTCTATTGTCTACTGTCCTAAAGGTCTCACATTGGGAAGGAGTCTGTGATTTTTGGGGCGTAGTTTTCAGTCATTCTGTTTGGATTTCAGAGGAATATTTGCTCCAAGGATTCCCAATCTTTTAATTTTACGTGAAACACTGAGTAATGAATAAACACATTTGTTACCCACATACATGTATTCTCCAAGTGCCCATTTTCAATGGCTATTGCAGTTTATGTCTCAGTCACATTTGATTGTTTGTTTGTAGGAAACCGCCACAGAACTTCAAGACTTCTCAGCCAAGTTCAGCAGATACTTTGCCTACCTTGAGAAACTCCTGCCATACCAACTACTCAGGTGAGCTCCACAGGGCTTTGATCCAAATGGGAGATAACTCCAAAATAAATGGATGGCTAACTTATGGGGGTTTTGCCCAAGAGATTATATGCTCAGTCTCTGTGCAGGAGCTTTAAGACGTCCTGTGTGGCCTTCATTAACCCATTAGCATCTGTACTACATTGTATTACATTGTGTTTACTCCCTGAAGGATCAATAACACCATAGAGTGTGTGGGCGGTTTGGGCTGCTACAGGGAGTAATAGGCAGGGCGGTTTCGGGGGCGGTTTCAGGGGCGCTACAGTGACTAAAGGGCTACCAGAAAAACATTACTACTCATTGATGTCCACTTCGCACACACAATAACAGTCAAGATTTTACCCTAACAAGTAGTAGACATCAGACTTGTATGACTCATGACTCAGACTTGAGTCCGACTTGAGTCCCATTTTCCGGGACTAAGACTCGGACTCGAGTCACGATAACAAATTACTCAGACTCGAACTCGACCCTGCGGACTAGGACTCGTACTCGACCTGCGTGACTCAGGACTTTACCAAAATTACCACAAATCACTTCTTTTTTTCCAATAATTTACAAATTACATTTTGAAGACGATCGTCTCCTGAGCAAGCGATTCAGGCTGTGCGGTGCAGAAGAAATGCATCCCAGTACTGTATACATACTCTGCGCATGCGGCTGGCTTGCTTCCGATATACTGATTTGGGAAATCAATGTATCAATCGAAACATGTATCCCAGCATCCACACGAGATATTGCATAGAGTGCATGCTTGATAATGTTTGGTACCAGATTATCCGTTCCAGGCACTGGTGCCTTGCCTTATTTGACACAAGCTGGTTTACCCGATCATAGATCGGGTAGGGCGTAGTGTTGGGGATGAAAATGTGGGGAGTTAAATGTAAATGGGGGATATAGTTGGGGAGACATACAGTTAAAGAATAGCAATGTCTGTGGTGTGATCTGAGGCAATTTCTGATCACTAAAATCAATTTGAGCAAAAGATCATCTGTGAAAGTTTTGAGTTTTGAGTAATTGAATCAGCTACATGTATTCTGAGCAATAAAATCATTATTGTAGGCTACAATATTTTTATTCGGGGAAGAAAAAGTATGTGGGGGGGGGACCAAACAATGTCCCCCCTCAAAATGTGTGTGTGTGTGTGTGGGGGGGGGGGGGGTTCCCCCTGTCCCCCGTCGATTTACGCACATGATAATTATGTACCATGGCAACTGTCTGTAAATGTTGCCGTTGGTCTGTTAAATTGGCTTTTTGTGAGGCAGTCGCATTTGGAAAACGTAGTGAAAAGGTTACTGTAGTACACAGGCGAAGGCTGGTTGTACAGTTTGACAATAAATCATAATGCAATAAAACGTGAAGGTGTCGTTTAAAATGAAAATGTTGAGTGTTACCAAAAAATTACAAACGGTCTGAATCATGGAGGAAGGTCATAATTAAGTTTCAGTATTGGACTCTTCAACAAACGTAAACTTGAACTTCTTACAATTTGCGAGACCGTTTGCGATTCAACTTTTATTCAAGTTGGTTCAACCATCTATATATAAGAGCAAGTTTTACTCGGCCTCCGAGAAATGTTTGCTTCTGAAAGGATCCGAGACCACGGCTTCATGTCCGTGGAAAAATGTGGGTGTCTTCCGCCGGGTCGGACACTTTTTCGTCGATTTTTTTATGACTTCGTTTAAGATCGCGATATTTGAAGCAATGCATCGATCCTTCGTTGACCCCAAACAGGCCCCCGAAATTATAACGCAACACTGAATTATACGTGGCGGGCAGCGAACTCACAACGCTCAGCCTTGGTGGTGGAAGCATGGAGCTGTAAACACATTATGGAAGCAACAGCACTCTATCACGCGACGTCACATGCTTGCGCTTCAAATAGCGAGCACCGTAGACCCAACCTCGTTTGCAGGGTGTGGAGCAGGCTGCAGTACGCGTTGCCATCGACAGTTTTGCATAGCCCGGAAATACTATGCAGTGTAGACTTTCGATTGGTCAGACCGCGCAAGGCATACTAATGTGTAGTCCTTCTGAGTATTCGTTGCACTCGGCGCAGGGTCGGCAAGCAAAGCACAGGAAAGAATAGGGACACTTGGTGGCCACGCACCATGGAGAAAAAATATTTTACCAAGGTCACCCCATCCACAATTTGGTGAACGCTTTTGCAGAAGGGCCGAGTAGAACACGTAAACGGAACCCCTACGTCGAAGCCGCTGACCTCGCACAGTCTAGACACGCAGAGAAGCCAGCACAGGGGGCGGCCAGGCAGTCAACGTGAAAGCGCACACGACGGCAAATGCCTGCGCAAAACGCAGTCACGAAAAATAGACGAAACGGATCGCCGGTCCGTACGGGAAAATCAGGACGACCCGAAGTGTCCGACCCGGCGGAAGACACCCTCCGTATTTTTCCACAGACGTGGAGCGATTTTGGCGCCGCGGGAGCCCATGGTCTGGGATCCTTTCATGAGCAAACATCGTCTCGGAGGCCGAGTTAAACTCTCTCTTATATATATATAGATGTTATACATGTATTTTCCAATTCATTAAATTACAGAAAAGCTTTTAAAAAAAATGGAAACATTTATACTGTGAGGTTTTAGCAGGACCTCAAAATTGATTTCCAATATATATTAACTGTGACTCGTGATTCGGACTTGACCTTTGAGACTGGGACTCGACCTGCGTGACTCAGGACTTGGACTCGGGAGAGGTGACTAGGACTCCGACTCGATGTTTGGTGACTCGAATACAAGTCTGATAAACATACAGTAAGACATGTTTTGTCGTATGGATGCTGTGCACAAGTATCCCATCGATGGTTAATTACAAAGGGAGAGTTGGGAGGAACCACTGGGAGGGAGCATTTAATGCATTGCTGCTATAGCCTGGCACTCATGTGAAGAAGACACATGTTTGAGTGCAGAATCAAATGAGTTGTGCGTACTTCGTGTCCAGTGCGCGTGAATGAATCCTTCCCACAGGGGCTGTCAGAAGTGTCAGAAAGCATCATCTACTGTACATGCACAGAGTGAAGAAATATAGTGAAGAAATCAATCAGGCTGATAGGTCAGGAAGCAACTGGGCCTCTGTAGTCAGATCTCCATGCATTGAATCTCATGGCTTTTCCCTTGCCTCTACAGCCTGGAGGAAGAGTGCGCAATATCCACTTGCCCCCAGACGCTAGAGACTCGCAACATGGAGCTGCACGAGTCCTTCAAGCGATTCAACGCTGCCTTCGCTAAACTGAACACCTACCTCACTGCCCTGGCCGCCGTCAGCACCCAGTCATGTGACCACCCACAGGCCAATCACAGGACGTTCTTTGAGAAACTGTCTGAGTGTTGCCAAAACCTCTCCAGTGTCATGAAAGGTGAGAACCACATCCATAAGGTTGTGTGCACCCACATATGCATGGGTGCACAGGCATCTATGCATTGCAATAAGTGTACGAGCGTGTGCGGGTGTGTCACACTTTTGGTTTCATAGCAATTACTCAAGGTGGACTTGATGTATGTCATGAACCATGATAGGTAGCTTGCTAATGAAACCTTTAAGCTTTATGAGTTTGGACCTCATAACACAAAAGCCAAGGTCATTGTGATTAAAACAATAGTTTTCTCACCAAAAAAAAAAAAAATTGTCAAATCAACTTAAAAATAATTTAAAATGTGCCTAGGTGTGTAAGTAACAAGACAAGGGGTGATAAAATGGTATAAAATGACATTAATTGGGGTTAATCAGCGTGAATGTAATCGGCCCCCTCATTAACATGTTCAAACACTGACAAATGATGGCGCTGTTCGTGACGTTCATTCGGTAACCCAAAAAAGAAACAGCATTATAGTCTGGTACCTGACCATGCGTCTAGACACCAGATAAGCCCCGCACGGTCCCGCAGGTCATGGCGTGCGTGCAGCATGCGATCCGCGTACGTACAGCAGATTTTTTTCAGACATGTTGAGTGAAGAAGACAGTTCAGGGAGCTCATACTCCACAGAATCGAAAGAAATATCCTCAGTATCATCGGGTCCTTCTTCGGAAGAAGATATTTCAAGTGACGATGTACATATTTGGTTCAAAACAATCCGGCTCGAAGTGGTCGCTGCATGTCGTGGAGTTCAAATTTTACATGTTAATAAGCTACCATTCTAGGGGTGGGGCCGTTTCCCAAAAAAACTTTATATTTTTTTTTTCTCAAATTTATTACTCAAAACAAAAACTTTGATATACAAGAAATCACTCAATTAAATATAATCTTTCATTTAAACTAATACAAATTATTTACATGGGCCCTCTAAACAAAACGATAGCGATGTAAATGAACGTTCCATGTGACCCAGGTAAATTCATGTTAAAAGGGTGGTGTCATGTTATGAGAACAGTCACAGTTGCGGGGCTTTAGTGTTTATTTAACACAACTCTCTTGTTTAATACTGTCTTTATGAAGAAGGACTAATTAATTTGTCCTATTATTACTATCAACTGTGACCATCAGTTGAGAAAACAGTTATCAACACTTTTCAACAATACTACCAAAAGATTACATTTTTATCACTGAGAGCTGACTTATGCACACAGTCCATAGTGACACAAGACAGCACATACCTTCTTAAAAAGCTGCTTGCATGTTTACAATTGAGACTTGCTCCCACAAGACCTGGAGAAAGGTTTTTGCATTTTCAAATTCCTTAGAAGCTTAAGAATTTGAAAATAGGAAAACCTTAAAAATAAATGATGTCAACTTTGCCTGGATTTTTTTTTTCGGAACAGGTCTCAATTATCTTTATTGTGATAAACTTAAAGACAAATATGGGTTGAAACTTTTGATTGCTTCTTATATATAATTCGTGTCTTTATTAACAAAACAAGACATGTGAAACAAAGCCTAGGACATTACCGTCAAAATCACAGGATTCAATGAATAGCAATGTAAGAAGACAATAAGGCAAGGCCATAAAACTGGAAAACTGGAAAATTTCATTACATTGAAGGAAACAAATTAATCAAGGGAACTGGAACTGGTCATGAAAGAAATTCAAAAGAAAGACGAGAGGGATCAGTCATCCACTCTGTCGATCCAAACTGATGTATACATGTATTTGGAGTAGAATATTACAAAAGATAGTAATAATCGATTAAAGATAAACAATACAAAAACGAAAAATTAATTAAGGGAACTGGAACTGGTCATGAAAGACGTTTAGAATAAAGACGAGAGGGATCATTCATCCACTCTGTCGATCCAGACTGTTGTATATTTGGAATAGAATATTACGAAAGATGACACCAGAGCTACATTTGTATTTTGGAGAGGCGAGTGATAGATTTGATTTCTTTTTTGGTCTGGACGTCTAACAGAGATTTGAGACGTTTTTTGTTGTCGGGGGTAACTAAACCTCGGCTTCCTATTTCAATAGCTATGAATGTGCAGTTGAAGCCCAGTTGGGTTATGTCACGGACAAGAGTGGTGTATTTGCGGCAGTTAAAGGAATGGCTTTTTTCAAAGTTGGTCTCAAGTTGTTATGTCCTTCTTGTGCATGTTTGTTATGACCAGGTCGGGTTTCAGGGTGGTAGGTAGTATTGATGGGGGGACTGTATTGCCTCCGACGGCATGTCTGCCCTCTAGGTCGGAGTATAGTTTGAAGTCAGGTTTACCGGTTAGAGATTCATCGAGCATGGCACATATTTCTGAAAGAACATTATTGTGGCGGTATGTGTAGCGCCCCTGCTGTAACATCACAGGACAGAAGTTTAATACATGCTGGAGTGTTTCTTTAGATGAGCACAGTGAACATTTGTCATGTCCTGACTTTCCCCACAGGCACAGGTTAGAATTGACTGGTAGGGTATCGACTATTGCGTTAAGTCCAAAACCAAGTACTTTTTGGGGAAGGTTGTACATGATGGATTTCCATGTGATACTGGTGTTTGCGATTTCCATGAGTTCCAAAAGTTTACCTTGTTTGACTAGTGATTCAATTTTTGTTGCCCACTCTTGTTTTATTTCATTGGCAATTGAAGTTTTGATTACCTTTTTTACACGGTGTAGCTGTTTTGGGATGGGCTCTTCACAAGAGGAAGGTATTTCACAAGGGTTTGTTGTAGTTTATTTTCAGAAGCTTTTCGGTGATGCACCGTTTGACTTTCTCATCACCTTTCATCATTGTCGATCCATGAGCTAAAGCGTGGCTTTCTTTGTACACGAGAGTAATGGGGGGTTCGTCTTTTATTGTGGGGATTTGGAAATCGTTGATTTTGAACAATTTTTCATGAGACACTATATTGTTGATTATACGTTGGTGGCTTCTGACGTTAGATGTAATAAGGTTGAAGTCATCTGCAAATGGGGTACAAATATAATTAGTGTCGGCCAATTTGTAGCCAAACTTAGATTCTGCGTTAATATATTGAAGAAGGGGATTGAAAGCAACTTGAAAATGTCACTATTCCAAGAGGGACCTCGCACGTAACCTGTCAAACCGTCATACAGATTTTTGATGTAATTTTGAACTATGGGAGGAAATCTATTCCGGTCAAGTTTCATGGAAAATCAGGTCGTGATGGACACTCCCAAAAGCGTCTGACAGATCAAACCAGGTTGCGTGCAAAGTTTTCTTGTGAGTCTTGGCATGGGCCAGAAGTTCATGCATGGTCTGAGAGTGTTCGATACATCCATTAATTCCCTGGATGAAGGCCTTTTGCATTGTAGTGTCGATGAGATTGTTTTCAGTCACGTAGTTGCAGAATCGGTGGGATAATATCTGGTGGTAGACCTTGGCAATGCTACTGTTTAGGGCGATCATGCGAAAGTTGGGTGGCAGCGATGGGTCTCCTTTCTTGTACGGAAGACTTTCTTGGCAACAGGACCAGGATACCGGTGGAGTTCCACTTAGCAATATTTTGGTGCAGAGTGTGGCCAGTAGATGATGTGTTGCTGGCAACTTCTTCAGGATGCCGTAGGTGATACCGTCTGGACCCGGAGACTTGTTAGAAGATTTTATGTTGGAGGATTTGCTTGATGTCTCTTGGGCGGATGGGCGAGAGGTCAAAGTCTACTTCGGAAGGAGGAAATGTAATGTCTGGAAACCATTTGAGGTTGTTGGGGACAAATTGGGGAGCAGATGAATATTTGCTAGTTAAGTACTTATTGGCGATGGTTTTGCTGAAGCTAGGACGAACGGCCTTGGAGTATAATTCGGCATGATGTGAGATGTGTTTGTCAAACATTGCTGGGAGAAGCAAATTGTTTGAACCTTGTCAGTCCTCCACAAATTCACAGAGTTTGGGTGTTATCCATTTTTGTTATTGTTTTTTTTGTAGATGTATCGAAGAACTACAACTTCAAAGTGTCGCTAGAACACCAACTACCCACTGCTTCCCAGAAGTTAAGAACCACAGATGAGTGCATAGTGTCATCATTTATATCGTTGGTTACATGTACCGGCAAGGTGAACAAAAGATATGAAATCGTTCTCTTTCCCTTGTTTCATTTTATTTTGAAAATATACTTGATGTTGTTGCATCTTTCCAAAGAGATGTCTGATGTTTAACTGACATTTTGTACAAATGGCATAGTAATGTTATAAGATTTGAGGCTTAGTAATGTGTTAAGTCTTTTGCCACTAAACAGGTCAGTGTTGGAATTTAAGCTTCAAAGTTTAGCAACAGGGATTTTTATATCAATTTGAAAAATTGTCGTTCTAAAAAGGTTTAAAGCAATAGTTTTACTGAATTTGAAGATTCGTTTTCTGACATTGTCATCAGTGCTGCAGCATTGGCCAAGTAGGCATCAAGTAATACCCATCATGCCTTGTTACAGATTGCTAATTTTACCAAGAGCAACCTGGAGTTTCTGTCCACGCCGCCTGGTTTTCGGACGCGGGGCCACACCGTCATCGGCACCAGTCAGTTTGAGGGGGCCATTTCATCCCCTGCTGTCTCTGCATTCAGACAGAAAGCTGTGGACTTCATTACAACCTTGTCAAAGGTACCACAATAACTCTGAGTAGTAGTTGATATCGCATGGAAAGATTATATTAATATCTGAAAGATTCACAATACAGTGCATTGCAAATGCCAGCAAGCATTTCCTCAAAAACGCCACTTTGGTTGAATTTGCGCAAGTATCCCGAAATAAAGCAACTGTCCAACATTGTCTTAGTATGGTAGCACACAGAAAAAACTGTATTCAGTAGCCATGGTAATTAAAGCCATCATTATTGGTACATACAGATTTCAGTTTGAGGTATGTGCATCAGAAATTTGTAAAATTGCCGAGTCCCTTTCATGCATAATGGTTAAAGTTTGACAACATTTCAGCCATGACCGAATTTCTCGGCTGTGGCAGGCAATTACACATATGTCTATGGGAAGTGGCTAAATCCACTTCCCATAAACACATGTGAATGCCGGTTGTAGTCAATAAATTTAGATGCAGTCCTACAAATGGATGTCAACTTGTTCCCATATTGCATTTTTGTGTACGCAAGATTTTGCTCACACAACAGCAGCATTTCTTTAAATCGCTCATATAAAATGGCATTTCTTTTACCTCCGGGCAGTAGTTTTGTAAAGAGTAGAATCTTATGTGAAAGACCCTTTTGTTCTTGTTCTCCCTTTCTAAATTGGTTCTGTCCCTGTGTAGCCCTGCCCTGACTCCGTGCCTTATGACCGAGCATTACGCAATCAGCGCATCCTGCTAAGCTCCACGGAGAGCCAGACGGGACTGGCCCAGCAGCTTGCGAAGACCAGCGAAAAAGTGAGCCAACTAGAGCAGGACAGAGAACACTGGAAGCTGGAGGCACAGCTGGTCCAGATCAAACTGGCCAAAGAAATCCAGGTAGGAACTCTCAATGTTTGGGTGGAATAAAGAAATTGACTTGGGTTGGGTGTGAACCATCTAGAGCAGGACAGAGAACACTGGAAGCTGGAGGCACAGCTGGTCCAGATCAAACTGGCCAAAGAAATCCAGGTAGGAACTCTCAATGTTTGGGTGGAATAAAGAAATTGACGTGGGTTGGGTGTGAACCATCTAGAGCAGGACAGAGAACACTGGAAGCTGGAGGCACAGTTGGTCCAGATCAAACTGGCCAAAGAAATCCAGGTAGGAACTCTCAATGTTTGGGTGGAATAAAGAAATTGACTTGGGTTGGGTGTGAACCATCTAGAGCAGGACAGAGAACACTGGAAGCTGGAGGCACAGCTGGTCCAGATCAAACTGGCCAAAGAAATCCAGGTAGGAACTCTCAATGTTTGGGTGGAATAAAGAAATTGACGTGGGTTGGGTGTGAACCATCTAGAGCAGGACAGAGAACACTGGAAGCTGGAGGCACAGCTGGTCCAGATCAAACTGGCCAAAGAAAGCCAGGTAGTCACAATGTTAGACTGAAAAAAGTTAACAAAACGGGATTTGGATCACCTCTGGAATATCGTACTGGTGCTCTACAGATAGACCCATCTAGACCTTGGTGAGCAGTCTCTCAGTTTGTCGGTATCTTTGTTCAAGGGGCACTGAATAGGTTAACTTTTATCATAGTCAATGCAGAATTAAAAACATTGACTTGATTAGGATTTGAACCGTGGGATCAATACCCCAAACATGTGAAATGGCATCAGATACCTTTCAGAGTTGTCAAACAAACCACAATGGGGCATTTTCTAGATTAGCTTTTAATCAATCTGTATTAGTTTGTGATCAAATTATGTGGCTTGCGGGGTTTGGTTTGAGTGTGACACTGAACATTTTTCCTTACCACCAGCACATTTTTAATGTGCTGCCTTCATACATGTGGTCATCTAATCAGTGAGTCATAAAGTTACACTGCCCAAGCATAGCACCCCCCCCCAAAAAAGAGAAAAATCAACTTGAATTGCTGATTTTTCAAGTACTGAGGTTTCCAATGAACTTTTGAGAAAAAAGGAATGCACTGTTTTTGCTTTGCACCTCAGAAAAAAATATAGCTTCCCCATTGCATCGCGACGTTTTCTTTTTTTTTAATATAGAGGTTTAGCTCATTTAATAAGAACTGATAATTATTTTAAAGTGCTGGTGTTGTTGTGGCAGTATATTTTCATATGTTGCAACTATTTTTTTTCTCTGTCAGAAATGTGTAGTCTTTGAGTCGGAGCTTAAGAGGTTGCGTGCTGGAGGAGGCAAAGTGGTCAGTCCCATTGACCAGGAGTCTATGGTGGCCCAAGCCATGGCCAAAGCCGTAGAGGTGGACAGTATACCCAGTAGAGCCTCGGATAAGGGCAAGGCGGAGCCACAGATTGACACGTCCATGGTGAGTTGCTTGATGTCAGTCAATAGGACCCTCTCACTGACCCACGTGACCCAGCCTACATGGGGGTACTGGAAAGGCAGCATCTCCATTGTAGTATGCAAAGATCATATAACGCTGCATGCAGTAGGTAGTAGGCAAGCCTTCAAAGCTGTGATGGAAAGTCAGCATCTCCATTGTAGTATGCAAAGATCATAGAGCGCTGCACGCAGTAGGTAGAAGACAAGCCTTCAAAGCTGTGATGGAAAGGCAGCATCTCCATTGTAGTATGCAAAGATCATAGAGCGCTGCACGCAGTAGGTAGAAGACAAGCCTTCAAAGCTGTGATGGAAAGGCAGCATCTCCATTGTAGTATGCAAAGATCATAGAGCGCTGCACGCAGTAGGTAGAAGACAAGCCTTCAAAGCTGTGATGGAAAGTCAGCATCTCCATTGTAGTATGCAAAGATCATAGAGCGCTGCACGCAGTAGGTAGAAGACAAGCCTTCAAAGCTGTGATGGAAAGGCAGCATCTCCATTGTAGTATGCAAAGATCATAGAGCGCTGCACGCAGTAGGTAGTAGGCAAGCCTTCAAAGCTGTGATGGAAAGGCAGCATCTCCATTGTAGTATGCAAAGATCATAGAGCGCTGCACGCAGTAGGTAGAAGACAAGCCTTCAAAGCTGTGATGGAAAGGCAGCATCTCCATTGTAGTATGCAAAGATCATAGAGCGCTGCACGCAGTAGGTAGTAGGCAAGCCTTCAAAGCTGTGATGGAAAGGCAGCATCTCCATTGTAGTACGCAAAGATCATAGAGCGCTGCACGCAGTAGGTAGAAGACAAGCCTTCAAAGTTGTGATGGAAAGTCAGCATCTCCATTGTAGTATGCAAAGATCATAGAGCGCTGCACGCAGTAGGTAGAAGACAAGCCTTCAAAGCTGTGATGGAAAGGCAGCATCTCCATTGTAGTATGCAAAGATCATAGAGCGCTGCACGCAGTAGGTAGTAGGCAAGCCTTCAAAGCTGTGATGGAAAGGCAGCATCTCCATTGTAGTATGCAAAGATCATAGAGCGCTGCACGCAGTAGGTAGAAGACAAGCCTTCAAAGCTGTGATGGAAAGGCAGCATCTCCATTGTAGTATGCAAAGATCATAGAGCGCTGCACGCAGTAGGTAGTAGGCAAGCCTTCAAAGCTGTGATGGAAAGGCAGCATCTCCATTGTAGTACGCAAAGATCATAGAGCGCTGCACGCAGTAGGTAGAAGACAAGCCTTCAAAGCTGTGATGGAAAGGCAGCATCTCCATTGTAGTATGCAAAGATCATAGAGCGCTGCACGCAGTAGGTAGTAGGCAAGCCTTCAAAGCTGTGATGGAAAGGCAGCATCTCCATTGTAGTACGCAAAGATCATAGAGCGCTGCACGCAGTAGGTAGAAGACAAGCCTTCAAAGCTGTGATGGAAAGGCAGCATCTCCATTGTAGTATGCAAAGATCATAGAGCGCTGCACGCAGTAGGTAGTAGGCAAGCCTTCAAAGCTGTGATGGAAAGGCAGCATCTCCATTGTAGTACGCAAAGATCATAGAGCGCTGCACGCAGTAGGTAGAAGACAAGCCTTCAAAGCTGTGATGGAAAGGCAGCATTTCCATTGTAGTATGCAAAGATCATAGAGCGCTGCACGCAGTAGGTAGAAGACAAGCCTTCAAAGCTGTGATGGATGGCAAAAAACTGGGACAGCACGATTATGACAACCATAAACGGCACAGGTAGTGACCATTATGTCATTTGATAAAGACATTGCGGTTATTTTACGTGAAAATAAGCCCTACTGTGTAGTTTACAACGCACAACGTTGTTGCTAACCAAACGTTGCCTTTTGGACAAAATTTGAATATTTTAATTTGCGGCTCGCTTGAGTTCAAAGGTTCAAATTTATGTGACCGTACAGTGATATGTCAAATTTCTATTTTTCATTGGCACACTAGATAATTTCTTATGTTAAGAGCTTTAATATTTTAAGATAAAAATCATTTTTGTTTAGACATTCCTAACTGGAGAAACAGACGTCCAAAGTTACAGTGAAAAATTGCAAGTTCAACAACCTATAACTCACAAACTGCATGACCCAAACACCAACATTTAGGGGTTTTGGAAGTTTCTCATACGACCAAACAATTCGGGCGATTCACAATGCAGTGCACCACCAAGAGTTTGCCATGGAGAGTTCATATTTTCGACAAATTCAGTGCGTGAGACATTTGAAATTGTTGGTTTTTCTGGACAGTAGTTTTGTAAAGCGCATGATTTGGGTATATGTTTGCCATTTTCTTTTCTTTTTATCAGTATGGTGTTTTTTTGTAAGGTGGCAGAACGCTATGCCCCAATCTATAACAAATTAGCTCAAGTTGTCTACTGACACTCATTCAAATGGGCCGTGTTTTGTCGACCGTAAACTTAAAAAAGGACTCTCCTTGGCAAACTCTTGGTGGCGCACTGCATTGTGAATCGCCCGAATTTTATCAAATTTCAAGAAAATTTGTGAGATTGACCCCAGAATAGTGTGTTGATTTGACACGGAATGACCCTGAGGTGACATTAACTTCCTTGCCCCTTCACCATGTTTATGTCTTAGTTTTATAACCTTTTTTGTCCTCTTGCAAACAGCTAGGCCAATTGGAAGGGATCACCATGGACTTTGGCGAGAGTGATGAGACATCGCGTGAGAACCTCATCAAGTCTCACTACACTACACGCCTAGCTCAGCTAACTGCCCAGCGACAAGTGGTGGACGGCAAAGTGGTCAATTTCAGTTCAGAGGTAAGTACAACCTCATGCTTTTTTAGGGGGGGGTGTTCTGGTTGACATCTGTAGACTTTGTACGCAAGAACCCTTTCAACGGTGACAAAGAGAAACTTAGGAGAGATCACTAGGGACTCTTGTTTATGGACATTTAGAATAAACTTTGGTTTGCATACTTCGTACAATGCACGTGGAAACCAGTACGTGCATGCAGTGTGTCCCTTTCAATAGAGCCCATGAGAGTGGTAATGAATTACCATGTACTGTTCATGCACGGAGTCAATACTCCAGAAAGCCCATGTGAAGAGGTACATTGTTTGTGCACATTCATGTGACATTATTCTGTTGATGTTTAGCATCTTTGTTTGCAAATCATCACAAATATGAGGGGTCACAAAACACCATCTACTGTGTGTACATGGAGTCACTACAGCAGTATTGTAGTATGTATATTGTTCCGTTGTCCTGTTCAAAGTCGACCATATGGACTCCGTCAGGGGCGTAGCACGGTCATTTTTATTGGGGGGGGTAAAATTTTTGAATAGGGCACTTGCACATCCATTGTGAAATGTAGACAGGTTTTTTTTTCTCCGGACACTTGGCCTCCATAAAATCAAAAGGGGGGGGGGCTGGTTCCATCTGTCGATGGGGGCACTGTTCAAAACCGACAATTATGCACACAAAGGGCCAATATATGGTGCTTTTCAAGGCAATACATGTGCGAAATTCTGAAAAAGGCACCCAAAACGGCAGATGCCACAAAAAAGGGCACCACTTCTTTTTTGAAAAGGGCACTTCGTAAAAAAGGGCACTCTTTACAAATTATTGGGGGTAAGCCCGTTGAAAAAAGGGCATTTAGATGGAAAAAAGGCAGTCTTTACAAAATATTGGGGGGGGGGGGTAGATGCCCCCCTTACCCCCCCCCCCCCCCCCACTGCCTACGCCTATGTCCGTGATGACGCTTTGTGACAACCTCAAAAGTCCCAATAGGACGGACACACTGTGTGCGTGTACTGGTTCAGGTTGTACATGTATGGGGGGGCTTCGTATGCATGACTTATATTATTCTGAATATGCACATACACATAGCCTCTTTGTATGAGCATCAGGCGCCCTTAGTTTGAATGTCCTCCCAGTTGTCTCCCCCAACTCCCCCTTTGTGACCATTGAGGGGATACTTGTGCACGGAGTCCGTATCGTTGTTGTCCCGTAGCGTGGCGCGGCCCCTAACATTGCGCACTTTGATTTTTCGCATCTAGCGCCTTGCTAGAGGAAAAGATTCACCTCAAATTTCACAGTAAGTGAAATTTCATCAAGCTCTTAGCATTCATGTTCCTAAACCTTGAGTTTATCTACCCGTTACAAAGTTAAGGGAGAAATTTTTCTTTGGTGTGATTCTCCGAATTTATTTAGAAGTTCACAATGAACCCTTTTAAAAAAGTGGCCCCCCCTCCCCCCCCCCCCCAAAAATAAAATTCTGACAAACGTTAAGTTGGATATGTGAATGGAAATAATAATGATTTGTCATAATTTCTCAACTGTAATTTCCGAGATTTGTTAAAGTGCGCCATGTGATAGGGACCACTCAGCCAATTTTGTGCCCAATTTCTGAATGCCACCATTTTTTGAATTTCAGACTACATTTTATGACACTGAAATTGTTCACAAAGGTTCAACATTAAGCATTCTTAAGGTAAAAGTACCAGTATTTATCTGAATTTGAAATTTTTCAACAAAGAGGTTGGGCAACACTACATGAGGAAAGTAGAAGGAAACGTTGAAGTGTGCCACGCTAGGGGACTCCACTATAATGTAATGTAACATGGTCGATAAGGAATTAAGTCTGAGAAACTAAACAGTTTCGTCCGAGTACTAGGGCTGTTGATGATGGGTAGAAATATGAGTAACAAGAACAGATTACTCAAAGTTTCTGGGAGAGGACTTGGACTTGAGTGTGAGTCTGAGTCCTTTTTGCATATTCTCTTCGATACTGACATTTCTGAAGCAGGCTGTGTCTGAAACAAACATGGTCCAACTCATTCAAAGTACTGTGTCATCGAAGCCTTAGTACATGTGTGTAGGCCTTGAATCTTACCATGTGATCTGACGGCACTTAAACGACTCGACCAAATCACAATCTACAGCTGTTGTTTGTGGTCTGCTTTGTATAACTTTGTGTAACTTTTTTCTAATAGAGTTTTGGAGTCTATAAGAAATAATCAGAATAACTTCATATGTTATTTTGGGAATAACCGGACTTTTGTCCTCATATTGACAGCCTACAAAGTGTGAAGATGTAGCACCTTGTGTATTATGGCTTCTTTGAGAAACGGTGTCAGCCGTAGAATGCACAATGTATGTAGGCACTGCCAGCTGTCAAAATATCTGTTGACATGCACATTGAATGTTTGTTGTAAACAACCTTGCTTAGATAACTGTAGTATCATCTGGAAAAAATACAGAACTGCAGGAGGTTCACATGTGCATGCACTTGACGTATGATTCAGCCTTTATATGTGGTTCTGTACCGGTATGTACCTTGAATGTGAATTTATAAACAACGGATGAAGGGTATTTACAAAGCTTTCCCTGAATTCCTCCCACAACACTTCAGACCCTATGTGAATCAAGAAGCTGCTTTACATTAAGGCATGTTGCCAATCTCAGTCGCCTTGGAATTTAATATCCAATCATTTCCGATCATTGGGTGATGAGTTTTTGCTCACCCCACTTTCCAACAGATGTTCGCAGACGCTCACTTTCCAAGTTGATCCCTGCCCCCAACCCCACCCCCTCTTTTCCTAGCCAACTATCGGAAATGATTCAAACACGGGAAATGGTCTCCCAACACCACCCCGAGAGTCATAGTAGCTTGAGACTACATTACATGTATACGCCTTTCTTGTCTACCCTCTATATGGAAAAACCTAACTACATGTAGCCTATGTATTTTAGTTTGTTTAGAGTGGAGACGAATGGTTGTATTTTGGGATATGTCCTTTTGTGGTTTGCTTGAGTACATCCTCTTTCATAAGTCCAGTATGAGGGATAACACTGAACTACATGATTAAATGAGTCTTTAGGCAGGTATGAGTCATTCTCCAGACCATTTATTGTCAGTCTCATCTTGTGCTCAAACTCCTCCGGGCTCAGCTTGCCTCAGTTTTGAAATTGTCAGTCTTTTCTACAGGCTTTGACAGAGTTTGACTCTGCATCATTATCATCATATTATTATCATTATCAAAAGAATGCTGAGTTCTTAATTTTATCGGTTCAGAAATGCCAGAATTAAGTGTCTAGTTAGTCACAGTGTGCAATACGGGGTGAGTCAAACAACAGGAAACCCATATGGACCATTTTTTATATGAAGTTTTGCATGTAGCACTTTCAATATCTAGGATATGAAAGCTCAATTAATAAGCTCTCTTTTAGTACAAGAATCATTCAAATTAATGAATGTAACTTTTCAAGTTACTGAATGTTAGGCCAAAAAAAAAAATATTCGGTCTCTGGTCAGACCAAAGTTCCGGAATTGACGCGGGCACGCGGCTTTTTTTTTTTTTTTTTTGGCTTTTTTCTTTTCTTCAAGCTTGGATTGTACAGACAAGGTGGGTACTATTTTGCTTTTTTGGTGTCCTCATGTACATTGGTGTCCTCCATAATTTGCCTTGGTGCTTTCGATCATTTGCCTTGGTGCAATTTCCCATTCCTTGGTGCTCTTTGGTAAAAAAAATTGAGGAGGTGCGGAAATAGAGGGCGCTGTTGGAGCTACCGCGGAACATTTTTGAAAAAAAAAAGATCGACGAGCATGCTTAAAATCGACGCGCGCGCTGACCAGAGACCGACTTATTATTTTTTTGGGCCTAACCCCTTGCCTTTTTTTAAATTTTGACCAAAAAATGAAATTCCTTGAAACTTGCTAGAAAGATGCCTAAGGGACCCTAAAACTTATTCCAACTCCATTTGCAGCTAGATTTGCCTTTTAAAAGAAAATATGGACCAAAATATGGTGAAAAATCAGTCAAAAATGGTTTGTTTTTTTTTTACAAAATCGATGGTTTTTGCCCAAATCTTCAAGATATGGATGTTTGAGTATTGATTGGTGCTCCTCTGACTTCCAATGGAAGTTCTGCATTGTTTTGAGAAGAGTCAATTTTTGGCCAAATTTTGATAAAAATGTAAGGCTAAGGCCAAAAAAAAAAAATATTCGGTCTCTGGTCAGAACCAAAGTTCCGGAATTGACGCGGGCACGCGGCTTTTTTTTTTTTTTTTTGGCTTTTTTTTTTTCTTCAAGCTTGGATTGTACAGACAAGGTGGGTACTATTTTGCTTTTTTGGTGTCCTCATGTACAGTGGTGTCCTCCATAATTTGCCTTGGTGCTTTCGATCATTTGCCTTGGTGCAATTTCCCATTCCTTGGTGCTCTTTGGTAAAAAAAATTGAGGAGGTGCGGAAATAGAGGGCGCTGTTGGAGCTACCGCGGAACATTTTTGAAAAAAAAAAGATCGACGCGCATGCTTAAAATCGACGCGCGCGCTGACCAGAGACCGACTTATTATTTTTCTTGGCCTTATGTCCACGGATCACAAAAAAGGTAAGTGTTCTTTCAGCAAAATGAAAACAATTCACATACATCCCCTATGAGAATTGTTTTCGTTTTGCTGAAAGAACACTTACCTTTTTTTGTGATCCGTGGACAGAATCAAAACCACACTTCTAAGATTGTCAAATCTGCAAACTATCCTAAGTTGCATTCTCCATATTGTAAAGCCACAATTGCGCTGTTTTTAATCTTACGCAGACCATATACATACATGTACTTGTAGTTTAGTTTGTATGGGCAAAAAGCATTTAGTTTGTATTTGTATGGGCAAATTGCATACATTCCATTTTGGTGTTCCAAACTTGACACAGTGTAACCCATAAAGAGGCAAACTGGATGATACATGTTTAAACAATGAGAAGAGATAAACTACAAATGATCATCATAAGAACCACAAATGACTATGTGCATGATAA